ATATAGTATAATCATATTTTTATTGCTTCAAGTCTATTTATGCTAAGAAAAAAAACAAAACATGGGACCAGCAGTTTGCATAATAGTTATGTTGCTGGACTGCCATGTAGTTGACTATGATTCGAATCCCGGACCCAGTGGCTTAAACTCACGCAGGACGTGTGTGTGTGCGTGCCCAAGATCCCAAAAGGAGAATGGAGAAGAAGGGATTGCCGCGTGGCCATCCCCTCAGAGGGTGATTTCTCTCTTTTTATCTCTCTGTCTCTCTCTATCTTTCTGGTAAGCACACGCACCCTATAGCAAAAAAAAAAAAAAAAAAAATTACTAGAAGATTCTACAAAAAATATATTCTTCTTCTGGATGACAGGATTATATATGATTTTTGATGTTTCTTTTGACTCATCTATAGTAACATGTTTCATTTTGTTATGAGGAAAAAAGTGTTGCTCAGCCTAAACAACCTAGCAAATGTTGGTGGAGCTTAGGTTAGGATCCAGGCCTAAGGATTCTCCCTGCCACCTTCTCCCTACCTAACCCCTACTTACTACTAGGCTAGGCAAGAAGCCTTCTGAGAATCATTTCTGAGAATGTTCTTGAAGGTTTCTGGCAACCCAGCCCACTCGGCCAAGTTTATGTTTCGGTGGAAAGAAACTCAATGTTTCCATTGTCTGACTTGAGAGTCTTCAAATTATCATCTTAATTAAGTGTGGCCTGGGTGTTACTCTGACAGAGCCTCTCACCTCAGATTTTCTTTACCTCTTCTTTGTTTGAGGAGCCAAGAATAAAAAGAGCTTAGAGGGAGAGCAGATTGCATGACCTATGTCTGAAAGGCAGTCATTCTGCTAGAAGAGATGGCAGGATGACCACCAGGCCTGCTGACTCCCACGCAGGGTTCTGAGCAGAAGTAGCTGCCTGAGGTCCAAGGTGGGTTGAATACCATCTCTTGTCTACGTCCCAGGTTGTGGTTTCATGAAAAGATACTCATCCTCTCCACTAAGACATGCATTCTTATCCTGTGCCAGGTATAAAAGTGCAGCGCAGAACTAAGCAGGCGGCAAGGGCCTCCTCCCAAGGGACTTACGGCAGGGTCGGGTGAGGGGACCAGAGCAAGTCAGTGAACCAACAATCCAACAAGGGGATAGCATAGAAAGGTTGGTGCGAGGGAGAAAATTACTCAGGGTAATATGTGGGGGGAAGCAACAAATATAGACAGGTGACCATGGGCGGCCCCTCGGAGGTGGTGCTATTCGAGCGGATACTTGCCTAGATATCTGGTCATGAGCAAATCTGGGGAATGGGTTTCCGGACAGAGGAAACAGCAGGGCAAAGACTGGCACGAGGGTGAATTGGCATGTTTGTTTAGAAAAGGAAGACTGGGAGGTCTTTTCCTAAAAAAAATTGCTAAGGTGGCGTCTTAGGGCCAAAAGTTAGAGGGAGAGTTATGAGTCCTGATGTATATTGCCAGGTTGCTTTCCGAAACGAACGTACACCACATGGCCAGTCGCTAACAGGCACTGGCCCTGCAGAGTAGGACGCAGGGGTCAACGGGATGGGAAAGAGGACTTCAAAGCGTCCATCTTCTGGATGATTGGAATTTTTTACCAAGAATAAGTATCATTTTATAACTTAGAGAACATTGGCAATAAGCAGGGCGATAGATACAGTATTATGCTGAATATCATATATGTATTACATAAATTCTATTGGATATATGAAATATTTTATAATAAAACCCTGGTTTTTTTTTTTTTTTTTCGTTTGTTTTCAGGTTTTTGCCATAGGGTGTATGTACTTTCTGGAGAGAGACAGAGAAAGGGAAAGTGAGCAATCTCCTGGGGGGATGGCCATACTGCAATCCCTTCTCTTCCATTCTCCTCTTGGTCTTTTGGGCACGTGCACACATGGTGTGATTTTCAAGCCATCAAGTCCAAGACCTGAACCACGTTTGCCATGTGGGAAGACAGTGTCTTAACCACCACGCCTCCTGCTAGTCCCCAAACCCTGTTTTTTAAATAAAGTTTATTAACCTATATACTACCAAGTAGCTATAAATGTGATAGTTTCTCCATGTACTCGTGAGGATTAATGGTTACTACTCTAACATTTTTGCATCTTTTCAGGTTCAGTTACTGGTTGACTCTGGTGTCATAGATAAGTTACTTGAGCTTCTGTAGATTTCAAGTTTTTGTCAAAAGAGAAGAAAGATCTACCCAAATCTTCCAATTCCCTAACAGACTTGTACAGGGAATTAAATAAAATAGTAAATAAGAAAGTACTCTGCAAATCGCTTCATGCAATAGAATAAATAGAGGAAAGGTAATTGGAAGAGAATTTTCACCTGGAATGGAATCCGCCTTTGTCCCTGTCTTGCCAAGGCCTGCATCTTCTCAATGGAGCCTTTCTTGACTCACCTCTTCACCTTGATCTCTCGTTTCTCTAAATTCTATCTGACGTGTTCTTGAGCCTCAAGCTGCACACTTTGACACTATAATTGTTTAATGTATATTAATGGTGGTCTCCCCCAGACTGTCCTTTCCTCCAGAACAGGGTGCAGTGAAGGCATGAAGCCTCAGTGGTGGGACTGTAGGCTTTAGTGATCAGATCAAGGAGAAAACTGGGGGAAAGAATGGTTCTCCCAGATTTTTCTTTTTTAAAAGGTAGACTTTTGCTATAGGGTGCCAGTGCTTGCCAGGAGACAGAGAGAGACAGAGAGACAGAAAGTGAGAAGTCACCCCCCAGGGAGAATGGCCACACCACAGTCCCTTCTCTTCTAGTCTCCTTTTAGGATCTCGGGCACGCACTCACGCGTGCCCAGTGTGAGTTTTAAGCTGCCAGGTCCAGAACTCAAACAATGGTCGACTACATGAAAGTCCAGCGACGTAACTATTAGGCTATCTGCTGGTCCTCGGTTCTCCTAGATTCTAAAATTACAGAGTTGGATGTGTTGGGAAGAGCTTCATTCAGGCTTTCTGAGAAAGAAGTCCTAGCCTGGGTATTCTGATGACTAACCCTGAGCACCTCGTGTTATGTCTCATAACCTCCTAACTTCAGCTTCTCTGTCTCTCTTTTTTAAAAAAGTTTATTTGATTTTTTTTTTTTTTGGAAGAGGTTTTTGCTATAGGGCATGTGTGCTTGCCAGACAGGCAGAGAGAGAGATAGAGAGATAGAAAGCGACAAATCACCCCCCCTCCCAGGGGGGATGGTCACGCCGCAATCCCTTCTTCTCCATTCTCCTCTCAGGATCTTGGGCACACATGCACACGCGCCCGGCGTGAGTTTAAGCCACCGGGTCCGGGACTCGAACCACAGTCGACGACGTGGGAGTCCAGCGACATAGTCATTACACTCACTGCTGGTCCCCCAGTAAAGTCTTGATGCCAAGATCCATCCCCAGCCTTCAGCCAGCCCTGGGTCATGGGCGAACGTGTGCCCACTATACTCAGAGAGGTCTCTGGACTTCAGCTGGAAACCTGCGTGGGCTTCCCTTCTGGAGCCTTATGTTTTACGGCTACGCCACCATCTGCTTCAATCACTTCAGTTTCCTGAGCTATAAAATGGGGCGATGAATAGTTGCCCTGCCTACTTCCTTCTAGTATTCTGAGGATTTGGTGAATTAATAGGCCTTGCGTGTGGCTACAGAGGCACAGGTGGTGGGGCGGTCCTGTAGAAGGCTGGAGCTGTGTGGGTGGCCTGAGTTTGAATCCCAGACTAACTTGAATGGGCTGGCTGCAGTGGTGACCTTGGTCATAGGTGTGCCTGGGACCCTGGCTGACTGGGAGCTTGGAATGGAAGGTCATGAGGAAAGTATCAAAGATGCCCATCTCTCTGTCCCTCCTTCCACACTCTTCCTCTCATTTAAAAAACAAAAATGGAGAAGGAGAAATAAAAAGCAAAGGTGAGTTTTTGTAGCTCTACAAGGGCCTAGTGCTGCTCCTGAACGACTTCTAGCACACACTGCAGAGGCACCCAGGCATGCACTTACACAGTGCTTGCTGCTGAGGCCGGAGGGAAGGGGTTCTAACTGGCCCTGAGCGTCATAGACAGAGTTTGAGCTCTGGCTTTAGGCAGAACTTGGCTCATTGATATCTGGCCCTCCTCTCTTTCTCAGCACACAGGGGACTGTCCTGTTCAACTCTTGCTATTGTTTGCATACTGGTTTGTCCCCTCGTGATTGAGAATTTGGTCCCCACTGTAGTGCTGGGAGGTGGTGAGGCCTAGGGTGTGGTAGTTCAGTCATGGGGATCTTGCTCTCATAAATGGATTAGTGATGTCTCACAAGATCCAGTGAGTTCTACCTCTTACGAGAAGGGGTTAGTCTTGAACTAGCAGGTTGGTATAAAAGGAAGATGGCTGCCCCCAGGTCTCTCTGTAGGCCCCTGCCATTCCTTCTATTTCTGTTGGCAATATGGTGATGCCAGCTCACACCTTTGGACTTTCCAGCCACCAGAATTTCAAGCCATATAAACCTTTATTCCTTATAAATCACCCAGTCTCAGGTAGTTCTGCAAACAGCACTACTGCGTGTGGATAAGACAGCAACTTGCCATTAGGTGGAGTCACGGGACTAGTTCTGGGCCCGTGAAATGACAGAGGAAATCCACCTCCAGGCTGAGTGAACCAGTCATGTGTGGTCCTTCAGTCTCTCTTTACCCTGCCATGGCGATTGTAGAGGAGGCCTTGCATTCACATGGGGTAGGAGAGCACAAGATCAAAGAAGCCCAGAACACTGAGTCACTGCTTGGAAAGACGCTGTATGAAGGAGAAGTCCATGCTCATTGTGTACAAGCACTAGATTCTGGGGACTGTTTGTTACTGAAGCACAACCTTACCTATGCTGCCTAATGTATACCCTGAGTCTCAGTCTCCACTCTTCTGGAGTAATAGGACCTCTTTAACATAGTTGTGGTAAAGATATAACCAGAGAATGTGAATCAAGCTCTTAGTTTAATGTCAATTCATGGAAGGAGCTCACTAAATGATGGACTCTTGTTTTCCTCTAGCATGGTGGTGCATTCTTGGCAAAGGCAATGAACGCCCCTGACCAGACCTTCCCATGGACCTCTGGGGCATAGCAGTGAGGTCAGCAGCTCCTCACAGAGGCCGGCACACACGCCTTATTAGGCAGCAGGTATTATGAGTTCTGTCTCTCCACACTTCCCATTTTGTTGCGTATGACTCCTGGGGCAGCAATTTGGGGCTGTTGAGAGATGTATATCAACAGTGCTGACACCCACCTTCCATTTGCAACAAGCTGTGGCAGCTCCACTTTCCCCACCCTCCCATCACCAGCTGCTGTTGATCCTACTGGGGTGGGGGAGACTGAATGGTTGGAGGGGCCGGAGAGGGAACCTCCTGCTGCATTCACCACAAGCTCTGGCCTTGGCATCAAGACACACGAAAGAAGTATTTGGGATATTAGCTTTCAGGAGAGCTTCTAACCTCAGTCCATGCCTTGACTCTAATAAATAAAAACTCCATACAAAATAATATAAATAAATAAAAACAAAATGCTGGGATTTATAGCATGGAGGTTAAGGCAGCTGGATCCTACATGGCCGACTGAGCAGTTCAAGCCCTGGACTCAGCGACTTGAAAGTCACACCAGGCTTGTGTGCATGCCCAAAATCCTGAGAGGAGAATGGAGAAGAGGGGTTTCAGACATGGGCATTCCCCCCTGAGGGAGGGTGATTTCTCATTCCCTCTCTCTCTTTCTCTTTTTCTGGTAAGCCACATGCCCTACAGCAAACTTAAAAATTAAAAAAAAAATTTATTAAAAAAGAAACAAAATTGGCTGGGACTAGCAGTTGGCCTAATGACTATGTCGCTGGACTTCCATGTAGGTGACCACGGTTTGAGTCCTGGACCCAGTGGCTTAGACTCATGCTGGGCACGTGCGCTCGTGTGCCCAAGATCCCAAGAGGAGAATGGAGAAGGGATTGCGGCGTGGCCATCCCCCCCTGGGGGGTGATTTCTCACTTTTTGTCTCTCTGTCTCTCTCTGTCTTTCTGGCGAGTGCACGCATCCTACAGCAAAAACCTCTTAAAAAAAAAAGAGAAAAAAAATTAGGGCCCGCAGGTGGTGTGTTTAAAGGTGCTAAATTACCACATGGCTGATCACAGTTTGAGTCCCGGACCTAACACTTTGCTTTCTCACTTTCCCTTTCTCTCTCGATTGCTCTCTGGTCAAAAAGAATGGTAACAAATGGAATTAAATGAATAAATAATTCTTAAAGAAAAATTCTGAGCTGTGGGTACTTATTTATTTATTAATTCATTTTAAAGTTTTCTTTCTTTTGTTCATGGGTGGGGGACATTCACAGTAAGGTCTTTACCCACCATCCACTCTCTGTCAGCCAGCCAGGATCATGGCATACAGGCACTCCCCCAGCATGCATGGGGAGACCTTGGGATGTGAACCTGGGACCTTCCCGTATGGCTTCAGCACCGCAGAGTATTGCGTTACTGCTGCACCACCACTGACCTATTTCTTCTCTTTAAAGATAAGTCAAAAGGGCCCACAGGTGGCGTGGTGGATAAGGCACTGGACTCCTACATGGCTGATTGCGGTTCGAGTCCCAGACCTGGTGGCTTGATTTCTCACTTTCTCTCTCTGGTAAGAGCATATGCCCTATGATAAGAATAAAATAATAATAAAAAATAAATAAATAAATAAAAATTAAAAATATTTAAAGGTAAGTTAAATGAAATGGTGGTACTAGGAGCAAATGATGGACATGAAACCTCAACAGAGAAATAAAATCCCCTGGAAAAGCACCTTTCCCTTGTGAATTCTGGCCAGGATTGTCTGAGATGTGAGTTTGGTGGCAGTTTCTGCAACCAGGGTGATCCTTTTAGCTGTGTCAGGAAAGCAATTCATATATATGTGTGTGTGTGTGTGTGTGAGTGTGTGTATTCTTTCACTTACTTGCCAGAGAGAGACAATGGGACAGAGAGAGGGAGAGGGGAAGCATCTCCCATGGGGCCTGGGCACCCTGCAGTCCCTTCTCCATCTTTCCCTCATTCTGTGCTTTTGGGCACTCACACATACATGACTAACATGTTTCTCAAGCCATTGGGTCTAGGACTCAAACCACATGGTCAGCCATGTGGCATTCACTGCCTTAACTGCCAGGCCATGGAGCTGACTCAAGAAAAGAAATTTCTTGAATCCCACAGAGAGGGAGTGGAGAGGTGAGGAGTCTTTTGGAAGGTAAAGCAGGGTTCTCACAGTCTTGTCCAGACCCAGTGGCTGAGGATTGCTGTCCTGGATACCTTTGCCACCAGCATCCTCCCACCACCACGCACCATCCAGCTAGGGAGGAGACGGAGCAATGGGAAAGTCCCGTGGCCTACCCTGTGAAGACTCAAAACGAAGTTCAAGTCCATTTTCAAAGTACAGGCCTGGCTGTGGTGGGGCCTGGTCCCAGCCTGGAGGAGCTGTGGCCAGACTGGCAATGAGCTCAGACAGCCCAGGAAAATGGGTTCCACTCCCCACTGCATCTTATGAGAAACAGATGACTCCTTTCCCAGAAATGGCAAGCGCCTCCAGAAATCCATCCTTGTCCCTTCTCTGTTCCAAAGCAAACACTTCCCTTGGCTTCTGTTCTGCCCAGACGAGCTCTGCAGGAGTGGAGCTCGCAGAGCCAAAGACCTGGGCTTGCATGGAAGTCAACACGGAGTGGAGGGACGGCTTTCACAGCAAGTGCTCCAGACTCACACATCCAAAGAGGTGTCTTCCCTTCAGAACAGCCTCCTACACAGCTGTGGATTGACCTCAAGGGTAATAGTAACAACAAGGGCATTAACATTTACTCGCCAAATGCTAGGCTCAGGGCTGAGAGCTTTATGGATATTATCCCATCAGATGCTGACGGCCTAATGAGAAAGAAACTGAGATTTGGAGAGTCACGTCACTACTGGGTGGTGAAGTTAAATCCTGACAGTGTGGACACAGGCCATCTGACTTCAAGCCCTCTGCCACAGGGTAAATTGACTCTCAGAGCTAAGAATGAGGATGGTCTCTTAGGGTCCCCACTACTGCGTGCACGGCCACCTTTGATCATGCTCAACCAGGGGAACCAGGCACTTTCACATTCCTTTCTGATTTTGTTGAAATCTCACCACAGCAAAGCAATAGGTGATCACCATGACCTTAATTTTACATAATATATATGTAAAGCCACCAGGTCCAGGACCCAGATCATAGTCGGCCATGTGGGAGTCCGGCACCCTTAACCACCGTGCCACCTGCTGGCCCCACCATGACCTTCTTAAGGAGGAAGGTAGGGAAGCCCAGGGAGGTTAAGGAACTTGCTAGTAAGTAGCATTTCAATAGCTAAGAATAGACTTGACTGGGCCAGCAGGTGGTGTGGAGGTGAAGGCATTGGATCCCACAGGGTCGACTGCATGATTTCAGTCCCAGACGCAGGAGCTTGACAGTCATGGCAGGTGTGTGTGCATGCGTGCGCAGAATCCTGAGAGGACAATGGAGGAGCAGGGATTGGGAGGGGGATTGCAGGAGTGATTTCTCATTTTCTCTCTCTCTCTTTCTCTGGCGTGTGCACGTACCCTACAGCAAAAACTAAGAAAAGACATGAATTTTGGAAACAGTGAAAAGCTATTTGGAGCAAAGTCTACTCAACTTTGGTAAGTCACATCATCCAGCCTGGCAAAATTAGACGGGTAATATAAATTTACACAAGACTGGTCATCTGTGTGGTTCATAGGCTGGTCACGAAGGCAGTTCCAGGAGAGGCATTTCAGGAATGGTTTGAAATTTCTTCTTAGTCTAAACTGAAAGCTGCCTCTTTGTAATTTGCCCTTGTTGCTCCCGAAGGCACGGAGAGTTGGCCCTGGAGATGTGGAACCGGGTCCAGAACCAGGAGGGGCTCATTATGAACATTCTCTTCTGGAACCATGATGTAAAGAGACCCCACTGTAATGGGGTAGTGGTATAGAAAGAAATCCAGCTTTCTGCTAAGATTCCATCTGCCAGGGATGGAGGCATGTGGCCCATTCCCACCTGGTCCAGAATTCTAAGAGCCAAATGAAGCTTTGGAGTTATTAGGCCTGTGTTTCTGCCTTGATGCTAAGATTCTGAATACTTGTCTAATTTAATCTAGCTTTATAGGGATTGTGTGTGTGTGTGTGTGTGTGTGTGTGTGTGTGTGTGTTGTATAAGCTTCCAGTACCCAGAACTTCTGGAGGAACACGAGGAAAAAGAAGGCCCACTGCTCTGGTTCTTTCCTGCATGAGACTGGTAGGAACAGCAGGTCCTGAGAGACCTCCGCAGGGGTTGCCTCCACTGTGGCTTCGCTGTGGAGAGGCCACCAACTGGTCAGTCAGTCTTGCCTCTCCTTCCTTGTCTCTGGGTACCTCTATCTTTCTCTCTAGTTCCTTTTTTTTCTTAAGTGCAACATTCCCCCCAGATACTTGGGTCCTTACTCTATTCATAGAGATATTTATCTGGTTGCTATATTCCTCGTATTCTCCCTTTCCATGGCTGTTCAGCCCCCACCCCCCATTAGCTAAAGGACATACTTTACTGTTGAGAGATCAGGAGGAAATTTCAGGCTGAGAAAAGGCACTGTTACGGTGCTGAACTTAACTGACTACCACCTATAGTTTACCCAGCGCTTCCATACTCTTTCATTTGGCCTATGCTCAACATAACCTTGTACAATGGCTAATTCTATGTGTCAGCTGGACTGGGCCATGGGGTGCCCAGATATTTGGTAAGATATTATTCTGGAAGTGTCCATGAGGATGTTTTTAGATGAGATTAACAGTCAGGTTGGGCTAGATAAAGAAGATTGCCCTCTCTATGGCCCATGTGTAGGCCTCATCCAATTACTTGAAGGCTGCCCTCTCCTGAGTTAGAGAGGATTCTCTGCCTGATGGCCTTAGAACTGGGACATTGCTTTTTTACCCTTGCTTTTGGATTTGAACATGAACATCGGCTCTTCCTAGGTCTTGAGCCTGCTGGCCTTGAGACTAGAACTACCCCATTAGCTTGTCTGGTTCTCAGGCCTTCAGACCACACTGGACTAAACTATCTATGTGCCTGGTCTCAGCTTACTAGTTCATCTGGCAGACCCTGAGACTTGCTCCCAAAATTG